ACAGGCTGGACTAGGAAGAAAGAGAAGAACTTACATTAAATTTAATAGTCGTGCCAGTTGGAGCAGCAGTAAAGCTGGTTGGGCCAAAGAGAGAGCCAGATGTGCTCCCAAAGGGGTTGGAAGTGGTGTTGGTGGTCCCAAAGAGCCCTCCACTGCTGGTGCTCGTACCAAAGTCTGAAAAAAGCACAAAAAATAATGTCAGCATTACAACAAACCCAAATTAAGTATTTAAAACTTAAACCCTAATACTTCATTCAAATTAGAAATTGGTTTGAAAATCAGAAGAACAGCTAGGAAAAATAATTTGACAGCAAAGCTGGAAGCTGATGGTGCTGCTAATGCAGTTCTCTGCTGCAGAACTGTCCTTAACTCAGCACCCCAGAAACAGCAGACAAACCACAGCAGTCAGTTTCCTTCCATTCTCGACAAGTAGGAAGAAAATAATACAGTAACTTTATTATAATCAGTGAGGCTCCTTTTCTTTTTTCAGAAGGGGCTGCAAGCAGTTGCTTTTGCCTCATGAAATTACAGAAGAGTTCAACAGCATCCCCTGTCTTCTCCTGACACAGACAAACCCAATTGCAACTGCTCTGCCACAGGATAAAAACCTAAAATCAAATATCATCGAAACAGCACCCAGGATAAAGAATTCCAACCAACACCTTTCGCAATTCATTTTAAAATGTAGGGCTGGAATCACAGCTACAGATTCAGGAGCATGTGGGCTCTCCCCTGGCTGCTGTGGGCACAGGTATGTCACTGTATGCTCCAGGAGAAACCCCCAGCCCCACCCTGACCCGTCCCAGCCCCAGGTACACCCAGCTCCCACTGCTCTCCCACCCAACAGCAGAGGGGAGCCAGTGTCACTCACTTCCAAAACCAGCTGGTTTGTTCTGTGCAAAGGCATTGTTCTGGGATGAGAACAGGCTTCCACCAGTGCTGGTGGTCCCAAAGAGGCTGTTTGATGTCCCAGTGGATGTTCCAAAGCCAAAGCCAGTGCTGGTGGAGGAGGTGGCTGGCTGGTTGAAGGTGGTGGACCCGAACAACCCTCCTGCAGACAGAAACAGGCTGTTAGTCCTTCACAACCTCCTCTGCTTGGGAGCTCTGGCAGCTCCCCATTGTCCTGTGCCTGGAGGGCGCTTTTTGGCTGGTTTTGGCAGGTTTTTGCTGGTCCTTGGCCGGGGCTGTCCCCTTGTCCCCGGGCAGTACCTGGCTTGCTCTGCGTGCTCCCGAACAGGCTGCCCGTGTTGCTGCTGGAGCCGAAGGCCGAGGTCCCGAAGGCTCCTCCGCTGGTGGTTCCAAAGCCAGCATCTGCAAGGACAGCCCAGTGAGCCCCTGGGGCTGCAGCTCCACAGACTGCCCCAGAACAGACACTGCTTCCCCCCACGCCCTCCCAACAACAGGCTGTTCCAGCCCCGAGCACCCCAGCCTTCCCTAAGCACTGCATTTCCCACTCTGCCCACAGAAGGAATGTCCACAGCACACACGGAACCCTGGTTGTCTGCCCGAACTGAAAGCTTGGCTAGGGGTGAAGCCTCAGGCTCCTGAGCCTCTTCCAAGCCAGCTGGAGCACCCAGCAGCTCCCCAGTTCCGTCCCACAAGGGATTCTCTGAGCTGCACTCCAGGAACAGACACCTCATTAAAACCACCCTGGATATTTCACTTACTTTGCCCAAAAGTTGAAGTTGTCCCAAAGCCGGTGCTGCCTCCAAACGGAGTTCCAAAGGATTTGTTAAACATTTTCAGGATCTGTCAGGTTTTCTTCCTAGACCTGGAAAGCAGAATTCAGGTTTTATTGAAAGCTCACCCTGCAAACTCATTTCCCATCTCCCCCACTGCCGAGGGCAGCAATCCCACCAGAATCCTTCAGCACCAACCCCATGGCACTGTGTGATTCCAAAGCCTGCCACAGCCCCAGGAGGGTCAAGGGCACCAACATTCCAGTGACACCAAGCTAAGGAGGTGTCACTAAACATCAGTGTCCCTAAAATTAAGGTGTCACCCTTAATTATGGCTGCAGTTCCTGCCCATCTCAGCCTGTGTCCTGGGCTGCAGCGATCCCACAGCAATCCTGGGGGTTTCCAGGAATGATTTTCCCGTTCCACCCTCTTTGCCAACTGCTTCAGGCACGACAGAGGGGAATGCACTGCACAGGGGTTACAGGAATCCAGCCTCCCTCTGCACTTCCCAGCAGCTGCTGTTCCAGGGGAGTTTTCCAGGCCCAATTCCCTCTCCAGCCCCCACGGTTTATTGACAGCACGTTCCTGCTGCCTCTCCCCAGCACAAACAGCTACAAACTCTGCTCCAGCTCTCTGAGTTTATCAACAAACCCAGCACAATCATCCCCACAGCTCCTCGGGCACGCCGTCAGGGAACTGTGGGCTGTTTTCCTGCAGCTTCACCACTGGAAGTTCCAGATTAGCCAAAACCGTGCCAGATTAATGAAAAAAGCCAGTACTACCCCAAATAATGCTCATATTAGCCCCAAAAGAGCAGTACTAGCAACAAAAAAAAGCTAGAACTAGAAAAACAAAATGTCATGCTAACCCAAAAAAGCCATTTAGCAAGTCAAAGTTAAAATTAAAGAACAGGCAGTATTACCCCAAAAATGCCATGTTAACCAAAAATAACAGGTGTAGTGATGCATGGAAAACCATATTAGCCAGAAGACAATGACAATACTAACCAGAAAAGACACACATGACTAAAATAATGTCCATTAACAAAAAGCAATGCTAATACCATCCCACCACTCTCCACACTGAGCAGGAAATGCAGGAATTCCCCCACATTCCCAGGCACTCCCTGGCAGCACAGCCACACACAGCACTGCAGAACTGAGAACAGCAGAGCAAGGACGGCCCTCACCAGGAGTATTCCCAAATCCAACAACTCCAGTGAAAGCCAGAGCTGCCCTTTCCTGTGCCCAAGGCTGGGCACTGCCAGCACAGCCTCCCCCAGGGACATCTCCCAGCCACCTGCCCATCCTTGAAACTGAAGTGCTTGTTTCCCTAACACCAACAGCACCTTCTGGGAATGGCCAAAGCCAGACTGGAGCAGCCACAGCTCCCCCCATCCCTGAGCAGCTGGAGACTAAATCAGCCCAGAACAACCAGCCCAATCCCACACTCCCCTGGCAGGAGAACCAAAAAGATGAATTTACTGCCACCTCCAACAGACACACACCACAACTTTGGGGTTAAGGGTCTCCACACGCCCACAGGCAAATCCTTACAGGCTTCATTTGCCACAGGAAGAGGCATTTCAGTGAAAGGATCCAGGAAAAAGCCAGGAAAAGCGGCTCTGACAAACTCTCAGAGCTCCCCAAGCTGAGAGGAGCACCCTGAGCCCTCCTCACCTGCTCCCCTGGGATCCTGGGGCTGGCACAGCCCTGCCAGCCCAGGCAGTGCCAGCTGTGCCCCATGGCCACCTTGTCCCCAGCCCAGAGCACTCAGTGCCACCTGCAGGGGACACCTGCAGGGATGGGCACTGCCAAGCTCCCTGGGCAGCCCCTGCCAAGGCCTGAGCACCCTTTCCATGGGCAAATTCCTGCTGCTGGCCCAGCTGAGCCTCCTGTCAGGGAGTTATGAGTGGAAATGACCACCCTGCACATCCTTCTCTCCAGGCTGACCCCCCAGCTCCCAAACACACTTCTCCATTCCTATGGAATATTTTCAGCCACCTCCCCCTGTGCCAGTGCAAGGCTCCCTTCCAGGCCAGATAAAAATCACCTGCACTTTCCAGCTGTCCGATGTTGTGACTCTCAGCCTTATCTGCAAATTCACAAGTCACTCATGTTCTGGGGATCCTCTTTGCTAAGTCACTGCTCCCACATTGTCCTGAGGTCACTAAATGCCAAACTCTACCTAAGAGGAAAACTAAAAAATTGCATTCTAAGAGAAAGCACATTATGGAAAGATTTCCCCCTCCCGCAGCAAGCATTCTGTTCTACTTCAAACCCACCCCTCCTCCCCAGCACCTCAAGGGCTGTGCCCAGTTCTGGGCTCCCCACAGAGAGACCTGGAGGGGCTGGAGGAGTCCAGGGCAGGGAACGGAGCTGGGAAGGGGCTGGAGAATTGCTGAGGAGCTGGGAAGGGGCTGGAGAATTGCTGAGGAGCTGGGAAGGGGCTCTGGGCTGGGGACAAGGTGGCCATGGGGCACAGCTGGCACTGCCTGGGCTGGCAGGGCTGTGCCAGCGCCAGGGATTTGGGATTCTGTGAGCCCAAGAGCTGGGCCAGAATTAGCAAAAGCCCAGGGTTTTACACAGCACCCCGCTCCCAGTCGCTGCACCCCCAGCCCAGAGGGGACCCCTCGCGCCCAAAGGCTCCAGCTGAAGTTTAACAGCAGCAGCACAAACCCCCCCAAACAAACCCGTGTCATCCACAGAACTTCAAGCCGCACGTAACCAACCCAACTTTAAATCACGACTAATTAACACGACAGTAAATAACTCCCGGCCCCGGGCACCGCCGGGCCGTTACCCGCATCCACAGCCGCCTATCCCCCGCGGAAAACACCCGGAATCTCCAACCGGACCCGCACCGGGACGACCAAAATGCCTAAAAATTCCCCAAAAAGCGGCCCGGCACTCCTGAGAACGCCGGGGCACGGCTGCCGGGAAACCCCACCCGCTCAGGCCTTCCCGCCTCCCTCCGGCCCTCCCTCCGTCCCGGGGCCTCCCCCGCTCCGGGACCGCCCGGTCCGCCGGCACAAAAGGCCTGGCGCCGGCGCCGGCGCCGCGCCCCGCCCGCCGCCCATTGGCCGCGCCCCGCAGCCCCCGCCCGCAGCTCGGCGCTGATTGGGCCAAGCGGCGCCGCGCACTGAGCGCCCATTGGTGGGACGGGCGGCGGAGAGGGCGGGGCGCGGCGCCGCGGAAGGGTCCAGAACGGCCCGTGTCGCGGCGCCACCCTGACATCCGGGGCGTTTGAGGGAGGCGGGGCTCCCGCCGCGAGGACCAATGGTGTGTCGCGGCGCGCGGGAGCTTGGCCCCGCCTCTTAAAGGGGCCGCGGCGGGTTTGGGGGGCGGAGAGGAAGAGGAGGGAGAAAGGGAGGAAGAGGAGGAAAAGGCGGAGGAGGCGTGGTGGGGCTGCCGGGCCGGGCCATGGGGCAGCGCCGCGGCGGCTGAGCGGTGAGCGGGGTCCCGGGGAGGGCGTCAGTCACTGCGGGAGCCTGGGGGCCCTGGGGCGGGGGGCGCCTCAGAGGGGGCCCGGGGGTGAGCGGCACCCGGGGCAGTGCCGGGGGCGCAGCCCCTCTCCTGCGGGACAGCTCGGGGCCGTTCAGCGCGAGATACGGGGGGTTTGCCTTGTGTTTAGGCGAGACCCCCGGGGGCAGGGAGGAGCAGGGTCTGGGGGCTCCTGCCCGGGGGAGCTGCGGCCGAGCCCCCCAGGGAGGAGCAGGGTCTGGGGGCTCCCTGGAGGGGCCCCTGGGCCGGCCGGGACCCCCCTCCACAGCCAGCCCCGGCCCTTTGGAGCTCCCTTTTCTCTTTGATTTATCCTCGAATGATTCTGGTGGGGCTGGGCTCGGGGTCGGTGCCCTCCGCGGGGCTCGCTCCCCCGCTGCCGGGGCTCCAGGTGCCCTGGGGCGCTGCCCAGACGGCTCGGGGATTGTCCGTAAATCGGATTTGTGCCGCAGCCGGGCGGTGGGGAGCGGGGAGCCAGCCCGGCCGGATCCCTCGGGGCTGGGGGACCCTTGCTGTGGGGTGTGCCCGGCTCCAAGGGACCGGGCCCCGCGTTCCCGAGTGACGAGCCCCGGTTTGCTGTGTGGGGGGCTTGTGCTGCCTGACCCTGCAGCCGGGGCTGTGGAGCCGTGGCAGGGCCTGAGCTGAAGGGACCCACGGGGATCATTGATGGGCCCCGGTTTGCTGTGTGGGGGGCTTGTGCGAGGCTGCCATGCCCATTCCCTGGGCAGCCTGGGCAGTGCCAGCACCTCTGGGGAAGAGCCTTTCACAATACCCAAGCTAACCCTGCCCTGGCCCAGCTCCAGGCAGCGCTGCCCGTGCAGGGCCGGGTGCGGCGGGGCGAGCGCGGGCCAGGGGAGCCGGGGCTGAGGGGAGCCGGGGCCGAGGGGAGCCGGGGGCCGAGGGGAGCCGGGGGCTGAGGGAGCCGGGGCTGAGAGACAGGCTGGGGGCTGGAGGAGCCGGGACTATGAGAGCCGGGCTGGGCAAGAGGGGCTGTGGGAGACAGGCTGGGGGAGAGGGGCTATGAGAGTCGGGCTGGGGGTGCCACAGCTCGCGGCGGGACTGACAGCGGTGGCCCAGCTGTGTCAGCGCTGCCCCGAGCACAGGGAATGGTCTGGATGGATGCCACGGGACAGGGTTCACGTGTCCTTCCTGCCAGATCCCTCTGGAGGGCTGCAGGGACGGCCCTGCCCTGCTCTGACCTGCCCTGCTGTGTGCCTGTGGGGTCCCAGGGGGTGTGAGGGGCTGAGCTGTGTGTCTGTGGGGTCACTCAGGCTGTGAGGGGCTGAGCTGTGTGTCTGTGGGGTCAGTAAGGCTGTGAGGGGCTGAGCTGTGTGTCTGTGGGATCACACACAGTGTGAGGGGCTGAGCTGTGTGTCTGTGGGGTCAGTCAGGCTGTGAGGGGCTGAGCTGTGTGTCTGTGGGATCACACACAGTGTGAGGGGCTGAGCTGTGTTTCTGTGGGGTCAGTCAGGCTGTGAGGGGCTGAGCCATATGGGGTCCCTGCCCAGGGCTGTGTGGGGTTGCCAGAATCCCAGAGTTTCAATAAGCCCCCAGCATCACAGAGCCCAGCCCATGACTGATCCCCCCTTGTAACCCTGCCCGGGGCAGGACAGAGCACCCCAGTGAGACATTGCTTTGTTTTTCCCAGGTGTCCAAGATGCTGCAGGTGCCGCTGCCGCTGGATCGGGACGGGATCCTGTTCCGGCTGCGTTTCACCACGCTGGCCCTCGGCACTGTGTTCTGCCCCCTCTTTGGCTTCCTCTTCTGTGTCATCTGGTCTCTGCTCTTCAACTTCCACGAGACCACTGCGACCCACTGTGGGGTGAGAGGCTGCCTGGGAGAAACCTGTATTCCTGGGGGGTGACAGAGCTCCTGTGTGCTCCTGGGCTCCTCTCCCTCCTCCTGGGCTCTTCTGTCTCCCCTCAGGGGTGACAGAGCTCCTGTGTGCTCCTGGGCTCCTCTCCCTCCTCCTGGGCTCTTCTGTCTCCCCTCCTGCCTCCTCTTCCTCTTTCTGGGCTCCCTTCTCCTCTTGGGCTCCTATCCATTTTCTGGATTCCTCTCTCCTGCTCTGTCTCCCTCTGGGCTCCTCTCCGGGGCTTTCCCCCCAGAGTGTTCCTGAATCCAGAACCAGCTGCATTGTTTCATGGTCCTTGTGGTGCCTCAGGACCGGCAGCAGCAGGTTTGGCTTTGTGCTGGGACTGAAGGCAGCACAGGCTGGTGTCTGGGCTGGGCACTCTGGGGGTGGGTTACTGCAATGAGGAATAAAGGTGGGGAAGCTGAAGGGAAATGCATCGTTCTGGGGAGGGGGTGGTCCAGAGCTGCTGGAGTTCAGAGGAGCCACAGGTGTCTGGGGAGGGAGGGCCTGGAGCTCCATGTGGGATGGGCTTGGGCTCAGGGCTTTCAGGCTGCTGGATGAGCAGCTGGACACAGCTGGGAATGGAGGCTGGAGTCAGCTCACTCCAGCAGGAGAACTTGAGCAGGGCCTGGAGTGCCAGGAAAGGGGGAATGGCTCCCAGTGCCAGAGGGCAGGGCTTGATGGGACCTTGGCAATGAGGAATTGCTCCCTGGCAGGGTGGGCAGGGCTGGCACAGGGTGCCCAGAGCAGCTGTGGCTGCCCCTGGATCCCTGGCAGTGCCCAAGGCCAGGCTGGACACTGGGGCTGGAGCAGCCTGGCACAGGGGAAGGTGTCCTGGTCCTTAAGGTCCTTCAGCTGAACCCATTCTGGGACTCTAGGGACAATCAGGAGTGTACAGGTGAGAAACCTGAGCAGGTACCTGGGCAGGGCCCCCAGGACTGTCCCAGCAGGGCTGTGGGATCCACGGCCCCGTGGGATGCACCGGGGCGCTGCCATGATACATTCCCTGGCTTTGGGGCTAGGAATAACCTCATTCACAATTCAAAGCAGGGCAGTTTCAGCGTCTGGGAGAGGCTGGCTGCGAGGCTGTGCCGGGTCCCTGTCCCCACGAGCCCGTGTCCCCTCAGGTGCCCAACTACCTGCCGTCCATCAGCGCGGCCATCGGGGGCGAGACCCCGCAGCGCTACGTGTGGCGCCTGTGCATCGGCCTGCACTCGGCGCCGCGCCTCCTCGTGGCCCTGGCCTACTGGAACCACTACCAGAGCTGCCACTGCCCGCACCCCCGCTACCTGCGCCTGTGCCACGCCACCCTGCTGCTCAACCTGCTCGAGAACTTCGCCCTCCTCATCCTCACCTACGTGTCCTCCACCGAAAACTATGGTAGGTGTCACCCCCCTGCCCCGCCCGGGCCCTGCCCTGCTGCGCCCTGCCTTGGGCCGCTGCTTTGCAATGAGGCTCCTGGGACAGAAAAAACAGTTAAAAGCCCCCAGAGATGCCATTAGAGTTAGTAGTTATAGAGGAATGAAGTGTGCATAGCGTGCAGATAGCCCTGCTCTTCACACAGTTTTGGGTGCTGATGCTTGGTTGAAGCCAGGGGTTCAGGCTGGGGATGGAGCCTGGACCAGACCTTGGCACCTGGTTCCACCCAGTGCTGAGGCCTGATCCAGGCTGAGGGCAGGTCAGCGAGGGGGGCAGAACCCATCCTGCTTCCTCTCCTTTCCCACAGCAGAGCTGGGCTCTGAGCTGGCTCTGCTCCAGCTGCCTTCACCTACCCTCCCCAGGAACTGCTGGGGAAAATTTCATAGAATCACAGAATGCCTGGTTTAGATTGGGAAGGAACCTCACAGCCCACCCAGTGCCACCCTGCCATGGCAGGGACACCTTCCCCTGTGCCAGGCTGCTCCAGCCCCAGTGCCCAGCCTGGCCTTGGGCACTGCCAGGGATCCAGGGGCAGCCCCAGCTGCTCTGGGCACCCTGTGCCAGCCCTGCCCACCCTGCCAGGGAACAATTCCTCATTGCCAAGATCCCATCCATTGCTGCCCTCTGGCACTGGCAGCCATTCCCTGGGTGCTGTCCCTGCAGGCCTTGTCCCCAGTCCCTCTGCAGCTCTCCTGGAGCCCCTTCAGGCCCTGCCAGGGGCTCTGAGCTCTGCCTGGAGCTTCTCCTCTCCAAGTGAGCACTCCCAGCTCTCCCAGCCTGGCTCCAGAGCAGAGGGGCTCCAGCCCTCTAATAGTTCCTGGAAACAGAATCAGAATTTTTCAGGTTAAATTCATTTGTCCAAAACCTGACCATAACAGGCTGGGAAATTCTCTTCCCCCACGTGGTCTCATCTCAGAAGAGCATGAGTGCCAGTGCTGATCTGCAGCTGCTGTTTCCTCCTAAGGTCTGGAGGAGGCACCAGGGGTTAACTGAAGAGCACTGAAATGCAGGAGCCAGCAAGGTGGTGCTGTTGCAGTGCTGGGATAAACCTCCAGGACAGTCATGTGTTGGCTTTCCCTGCACAGCAGGATGGTGATGATGGGTATTGTGTCCAGCTGTGGGCTGGAGAGGGACTCTGAACAAAGAATGGAGTGCCAGGACAAGGGGAATGGCTTCCCACTGCCAGAGGGCAGGGCTGGATGGGATACTGGGAATTAGGAATTGTTCCCTGGAGGGTGGGGAACAACAAAGAATGGAGTGCCAGGACAAGGGGAATGGCTTCCCACTGCCAGAGGGCAGGGCTGGATGGGATATTGGGAATTAGGAATTGTTCCCTGGAGAAGTGGTGTTGGACACTGCCCCTGGATCCCTGGCAGTGTCCAACACCAGATTGGACATTGGGGCTTGGAGCAGCCTGGGACAGTGGAGGATGTCCCTGCCATGGCCCCATGTCCCACATCCATGCCCAGGATGTCCCCATGGAAATGTTTTTAAGGTCCTTCCCAACCCAAACTGTTCTGGGGTTCAGGGCTGTGGTGCTTTGAGCAGAGTCCTGGGATCTCCCCCAGCCTTTGGGGTGAGGATGGTCCGTGGTGGAGCCCAGTGACTGGGATGGCAGAGCAGGAACCTCCTGCTGATGGAGGTCTCTGGTCTGGGACCTGTCCTTACCCAGCTCCTTGTCTCCTGCCAGCATTCCCTGGCCCCATGGCCGGGTGTCCCAGTGCCCCCCTGATGGCAGGGTCTGCAGCCTGACTTGCCCCAGGGGCTTCTCCAGCTTGTCCAGGCCCTTGGAAATCCAGGCGCTGCTTTGAGGTCTGGCTAGCTGGGGCAGAGCCCTGGGAGCTGAGGCTGACCCACTTCCTGGGATCCTCACCCCAGACTAATCCCTGGCTCTGGGGAAAGTTTCAGCCCTGAGCTGCCGTGCTCAGGTTAATCATCCCTGCAGGACAGCCCGGTCTGACCTCTCCCACCAGCTGGCACCTCACTCCTCACGTGCTTCCCTTCCCCTGCAGGGAGAGGGCAGACAGGCATGGTCATTCCTGGTGTTCAGGTGGGGGAGTTCAGGGTCATTCCTGGTGTTCAGGTGGTGGGGAATTCAGGGTCATTCCTGGTGTTCAGGGGGTTGGGAACTCAGGGTTATTCCTGGTGTTCAGGGGGTTGGGAACTCAGGGTTATTCCTGGTGTTCAGGGGGTTGGGAACTCAGGGTTATTCCTGGTGTTCAGGGGGTTGGGAACTCAGGGTTATTCCTGGTGTTCAGGGGGTTGGGAACTCAGGGTTATTCCTGGTGTTCAGGGGGTGGGGAATTCAGGGTCATTCCTGGTGTTCAGTGGGTTGGGAATTCAGGGTTATTCCTGGTGTTCAGGGGGTTGGGAATTCAGGGTCATTCCTGGTGTTCAGGGGGTTGGGAATTCAGTCTGAGGCTCAGCTTCTGCAGAAGGGGCTGGAAGTTCCTTTTCAGAGCAGCACTTATGAAGATCTTTCACCTGAAGGTGCAGGGGTCGTGTGGAGTTTGAGGCCTTGGGAGCAGCTCTGCCTTGGCCTTGCTCCAGCTGCCTTCCCAGCCTGATCCTGTACCTGGGCTAGTCCAGGTATGCACAAGGCAACCTCAGTGCTGCAGATGAGGCTGCTGATGCTGCTCATGGGCAGGTGGATTATGCAGGGGGCCAGAAGATGGACTCTTCTGGATTTTGGACTGGCTTACTCTGCACCCCCCCTCCCTGTGCCTCAGTTTCCCCATCCCTAGAACAACAGTGGTAATGCTAATCTGCTCTCAAGGGTCCCTGAGTTTACAGCCATGTGAAGTGAAGGTCCCAGAGCACAGAAGCACCCTCCTGGCACTGTGGGATAAGTCTTCTAGGCACTTTTATCACCTTCCAGGGGCCCCTGAGGCAGCACAAGCAGGTTATGAAGCTGTGCTGTGCCTGTCTCCTGCCAAGACCCCGCTGGAGTCCCAGCATCACCGGGGTGCTGGGGCTCCCAGCACAGCACAAAGCCCTCCCAAACCTTGCCCCGTGTTCCCCTTGTGCTCCTGGCTTGGATTGAACAGGAAGCCTGTTGTTTGTCAATCCAGCAATCCACGAAAATGCCTTCATCGTGTTCATCACGTCGGCCCTGGGCCACATGCTGCTCACCTGCATCCTCTGGAGAATGACTAAGAAACACACAGTAAGTCCCGAGGTACAGACACTTTCCTTTCTTCTCTCTGTGCTGGGAGCAGGGAGGGGGCTCTGGGGCCATGCTGGGCGTTGGCAGGGGCTCTGGAGTGGCACTGGAGGGCTTTGGCTGTCCTTGCTTGTGAAATGCCCCTGAGCAAGTTCTAGAGGAGCCAACAGCAGCAGGTGAAACAGAAGAACTCACCAAAATCCATTTACCAAAGCAAAATGGGGAGGAAGCTTTTCATTTCTTACTTTCTGGTTTTATCATGGAACCACAGAATGGTTTGGGTGAGAAGGGACCTCAGATCCCACCCTGCCATGGCAGGGACACCTTCCCCTGTGCCAGGCTGCTCCAGCCCCAGTGTCCAGCCTGGCCTTGGGCACTGCCAGGGATCCAGGGGCAGCCCCAGCTGCTCTGGGCACCCTGTGCCAGCCCTGCCCACCCTCACAGGGAAGAATTTCCTCCCAGTATCTGATTATGTTTCCATTGGGAGATCCTATTGGAAACCACTTAGCATCCCTGTGGACTGGGATTGCTCATCCCTTCTCCGTGCCTGTTTCTAAGCTGAAGTTGGCGTCCCTGTGCTGGGAATTGCTGTCCTGCAAGCTGGGAGCAGCGGGCAGCAGGAGCTCTCCCTTTGCTCCAGAATGGCTGTGAGCAGGCTGGCTCTGGCTCCTTTTCTGGGGAAGGGTCAGGGGGTGCAGGGGCTGGCTCTGGGGGCAGCAGGTCTGGTGAAAGATCCAGCCAGGGGCTCCTGGCCCCATTGCCTGGCTGCAGCTTCTGTGCTGTGCTGGTTTGTGGTGTGAGTCCTGGGCCTTGGACAGGACATCCAGGTTTGTCCTGGATTGTGGGGCAGGTGGGTGGCACATCCAGGTTTGTCCTGGATTGTGGGGCAGGTGGGTGGCACATCCAGGTTTGTCCTGGATTGTGGGGCAGGTGGGCAGGACATCCAGCTTGGTCCTGGACTGTGGGCACTGGCAGCCACGGGCAGGGCAGGACATCCAGGTTTGAGGCTGTGAGGCCCTGTTTTTGTGCCCACGTGGCTCCAGCATGCTTGCCTTCACCTGTGGATCTGGACTGCCTGCATCTCTCTGTCCCTTCCCCTCGGGATGCTCCTCCCAGCGATCCCAGTCCAGCCCTTGCGATCCCGGTGTTAAATGGGGAGGGGTCCCAGGGCTGTGCTGCTCCAGGAAGGTGGCAGTGGGCAGAGCAGAGCCCTTGGGAGGTGTGTGCCTGTGTCCCATGCTGTGAGGCTGGCGAGGGCCGGACAAGCCTCTCCCAAGGGGCTGTGAGCAGGGCTGCAGGGTGGGTGCTGTGCCTGGGGCCTGTCAGGACATCCAGGTTTGAGGCTGTGAGGCCCTGTTTTTGTGCCCACGTGGCTCCAGCATGCTTGCCTTCACCTGTGGATCTGGACTGCCTGCATCTCTCTGTCCCTTCCCCTCGGGATGCTCCTCCCAGTGATCCCAGTCCAGCCCTTGTGATCCCGGTGTTAAATGGGGAGGGGCCCAGCTCTGCAGCCCTGTCAGGATGAGTGCTGGGGCCCAGCTCTGCAGCCCTGTCAGGATGAGTGCTGGGGCCCAGCTCTGCAGTCCCAGCAGGATGAGTGCTGGGGGGCCCAGCTCTGCAATCCCAGCTCTGCAGTCCTGTCAGGATGAGTGCTGGGGCCCAGCTCTGCAGCCCTGTCAGGATGAGTGCTGGGGCCCAGCTCTGCAGTCCAGGAGCAGCTCCTGCTCCGTCACACTTCTTGTCCTCCCCTTCCGCCAATTCACCGAGCCTGTCCCTGCTGCCTGACTCCAGAGGCCTGGGAAAGAAGCTTCCAGCAGCTGTTTGGCTGTAAGGCTCCTTAGGAAAGAGACTTGTGGAGATGCTGAGGCCCTCCTCCCTCACTGGGAAGTGATTTGTTCTCTCTGCTGATATGGGAATAGCTGGAGCTCGCAGTCATTCCCTGGCAGCTCTCCCACAGCTTCCTTTATTTCTGTCATATTGTTTTGGCTTGTCTTTTTTCTGGGTGAGACCTCTAAGGCTCTGCATCTCCTCCCCTGCCACGTCACCCACTGGGGCTGGTTCATCTCCACTGCAATGGGCAGGGGTGAGGCACCCCAGGTCCTGGGCTCAGCTTTGGGCCCCTCAGGACCTGGAGCATGGCCAGGGAGGGGAATGCAGCTGGGGAAGGGGCTGAAGGGGCTCAGCCTGGAGAAAAGGAGGCTCAGGGAGGACATTATGGCTCTGCACAACTCCTGACAGGAGGGGACAGCCGGGGGTGTTGGGCCCTGCTCCCAGGGAACAGGGACAGGACAGGAGTAATCATCCTCAAGCTGTACCAGGGAGGTTCACACTGGATATTGGGAAAATTGTTCCTAGGCAGGGCTGTCCAGCCCTGGCACGGCTGCCCAGGCCAGGGCTGGAGTCACATCCCTGCAGGGATTTTACAGCCATGTGGATGTGACACTTGGGGACATGGGTTAATGTGGCCTTGGCACTGCTGGGGTGCAGTGGCACTCTGGTCTCAGAGGGATTTTGCAGCCTCCTTGGTTTCTGTGACTCTACCCATGGACTGAAGGAATCTGCACATCTGTGGGGCAGGGAACGTGGTGACACCTTGGCTGAGCATGCCACCACCTGGCACAGTGCCACCAGTCACTTCCTCCTCCCATCCTGGCACACCCTGCTGCTGGAGAGGAGCTGCGTGGTCCCCCCAAAGCTGGGGTTTGCCCGAGGAGACAGGAGCCCTCCAGGGCCAGCCCTGACCCGAGGCCACCGGGGCTGCGGTGTCCCTGTGCCAGCTCGGGTGTCCCTGTGCCAGCTCCGGTGTCCCCGCCCGCTCCATGCGCAGCCACAGGATGGAGCTGTCGCCCAGGGCACGGCGGTGGCGGGTAGGGGAAGGGCTGACACAGCTCCCAGACCGGCTGTGTCGGGGTGAAGATGGCACAGTGCCTGTCACACCACCAGGCGTCACCTTTGGCTAAGGCACTTCGGGTCACTCTGCAGCTGCGCGTTGGGCTCGTACCGCCCGGCATTCCCACGGATCCTCCGGGCTGAGCAGGGTCTCCTGGGGCTTGTCCCACTCTCTGCCTGGATTCCTCAGGCCCCAAGCCCTCTGCTCACGGCTGGTGGCCCTGGCAGGCTCGGCACAGCTCCCGTGACAGCCGCGGCTTGCCTGGCTCGGCAGGGCGGGACACGGGCGGTGCCACTGCCACATCCAAGGGCTTGGGCAGTACCCGTGAGCTGCCCAGCCATGCTCCTGGGGCTGCTCAAGGCCAGGGCACAGCTGTCCCTCCGTGTGCATCACGGCACCTTGGGGACAGACTCTGGCTCTGTTTGTGTCCCTTGTGGGCCCTTTGTTCACATTTGCTGTCCCCTGCCCTGGAGCTGGCGATGGCAGGAGGGGACAGGCGAGGGATGGCTCCAGTCCCACGGTGTTCTGTCCTTCCCTCCTCCCCAGCAGAGGGTCCCCACAAGGGTTCAGGTTCTCCAGGGCCAAACCTGGGACCATCTCCAGGACAAGCTCCGTGTGGGGAGCTGGAAGGAGGAGGGAACAGGGGGCTGTGCCATCCCCGCCCCACAGCTGGCACTGCTTTGAGTGCTGCTGGCAGGGATGAAGCTCCCCAGCTCTGGCATTGTAGCAGGGACAGGAATTGGTCTTGCAAAAGCTTCTCATCCGGCGGGGCTCCTGTTGCAACTGCTGCTCTGCGAGGCAGGAAGGTGCAGAGGAACTGGTTTGCAATGGGGAAGTACAGACGGTTTCCAGTTTCGAGGTGGCAAATGGTGAGAGAAAGGAAAACAAAGCTCTGTGGGAGGGGAGAAAAAGGAGGGGAGGGGGCAAAGCAGAGGCGAGAGCTTCTGTGGAAAAGGGAAATGGAGCCTGGGAGCTTTCATCTCTGGCTGATCACTGCACCCCATGCTTGGTGCTTGGCCGTGGCATGGCAGTGCCCACCTGGGCTGGCAGCTCTGCTGTTCCTGGCTGGCTGCTCGCCCTTAAAACCCTCCTTCCCCCAGCCCTGAGCTGCAGAGCTGGGCAGTGGGGCAGAGCAGTTTCACTTCTTGTTTGCAAACACACTTTCCCCCCCCAGCTCAGGGCTGGTGGCCCCAGCAGACAGCAGTGTGTGCATGTGGTGGCCACCAGGCTGGCTGGCTCAGGCCATCAGAGGGGCCACGGAGATGCTCACAGGGCTGCAGCTCTGGAGCCAGGCTGGGAGAGCTGGGGGGGCTCCCCTGGAGAGGAGAAGCTCCAGGCAGAGCTCAGAGCCCCTGGCAGGGCCTGAAGGGGCTCCAGGAGAGCTGCAGAGGGACTGGGGACAAGGCCTGCAGGGACAGCACCCAGGGAATGGCTGCCAGTGCCAGAGGGCAGCAATGGATGGGATCTTGGCAATGAGGAATTGTTCCCTGGCAGGGTGGGCAGGGCTGGCACAGGGTGCCCAGAGCAGCTGGGGCTGCCCCTGGATCCCTGGCAGTGCCCAAGGCCAGGCTGGGCACTGGGGCTGGAGCAGCCTGGCACAGGGGAAGGTGTCCCTGCATGGCAAGGGTGGCACTGGGTGGGATTTAAGGTCACTTCTGGTCCATGCTGTGGCTAGTGGAGCTGGCTCCTGCTGTGCCACTGGCCCCTGGGCTCTGTCCCACAATGTCCCCCTCCCCTGGCATCTGCAGGGCACACGGGCTGAGCCCGGCCCAGGCTGCAGCCAGTGCACAGGCACGGGAGCTTCTGGGGCACTGCCCCTGAGTCCCCCGGGCCCAGCTGAGCCCCAGAGCTGGAGCAGGGTCCCTGAGCTGTGTCCCTGCCCGGCAGGGCTGTGTGAGCACAGGCACCACAAGCACCTCGGTGACCACGCGTGGTTTCACCCCAGCTCCTCGCGGCAGCGCTGCCGTGCCTCAGACGAGCCCTCTATAAATAGCTGAGCTCCGTGAGGGGCCCTTCGGCCCCGGGCTCTCTGCACAGCCCCGGAAACCTCCAGGGCAGCTGGGACCGCTGTGTGACACACAGCCCTGCAGGTGCCACTTGTCCCTCAGAAAGGGACGCTGGCTGT